CTCCTCCCTAGTTCCTTCTTACCCTGGTTAGAAGATCACGTACTGAGACGACTGAGCTGCCTTGAAACATGCATGGGAGGAGGAGGAGGAGGAGGAGGAGGAGCTCCGAAAGTCCATTGCTGCGTTTTACAATCGGCCCAGATTAGTAGGTCGGACCTGCCAAATCAAGGGTACCCTTGTGTCCTGTGTCTCGCGACCCATGCTTCCTACATTCCTGCGGCAATGTGGCCCCCTGAAGGGTCTTGTGTCCTCTCGCGAGTCCTGTCCAATCGAGTCCGACTGTATGTGGAGCGGGTTCCCGATCTAGGAGTAACATGAGGTTGGGCTCCAGACTTTGCGCAGTCAGCCGATGCCCGTCGCAGGCGAGAAGCCGACCTGGAGATCGGCGCGTCGGGCCCCCCGCCCAAGTCGAGCAGCCCTCTCGCGGCGTTGCTCTGAATCCGACGGCCGCTCCGAGGCCCAGTGAACCACCAGAGGCAGACGAAGAGCAAGAGTGCGCCGGTAGAGGGAAACAATTAATGAACACCCCCCTCTGCCCCCCAATCTCAAAGTTGGCACGCGCGGGGGCGACTGCGGTCGAGGTGCAACTCATCAGACCCACCGCCACCTTTGAGCATTGGGGGGAGGGGGAGGCGTTCACAGATGAATGTGGCATGAGTGTTCGCTATTTTTTTCGAGGCCTGGCGGACGTTCTTGCCTTCCTGGAAGATCCCCTCGCCTTGTGTCACGCCTCTGTTCCCCCCCTCCCGTGCCAGTCCCACAACAACGGATGAGATCCTCGCGCGCGTCGAGAACAACCGAGCCCACGCACGCGCGCGCATGCGGGAGCAAGTCGAGCGTGAGAGAGCGAAGCACATCCGTACCGTCGTTCCCTAGACGGCCGACCCCAATTTCGTCGTCGGCTTGTTCGGTCGAGCGCAGTAGCCACGTGCGCGTCGAGGCCAGCAGGCCCCATCGTTCCGCCCTTCAGACTGGCCGGGTCGCAGTCGAGCGCGAGCTTTGATGAGTCGCGAATGTCCGAGGTGTGACGCACCAGGCCGCCTTGGCATTTTGCCCGCCCTGCCCAGATGCGCGTGTGCTCACTTGTCGTGCATCGACCCACGGCGATCCAAGCCCACCGCAGTCCGCCGCGACTTCAGGGGTCGGAAGGAGGAGGTTGCATTTAGGCTGAAGTCGGGCGTGTCCCTCTACAGGAGGAATATTCCAAAAATAGTCACAAAATAGTCTGGGGACGATTTTTCTAATATTTTTGAGCACTCTTGGAGTATGTTTTGACTATGTTTTATTTGTCGCTCAAAATCCCCCTTGTAGGGGGACAGGCCCGACCTAAATTAGTGCGCGGATGGGATGGGGCAGGAACGCTCTCTTGATGATTTCCTAGCCATCACTTGCCACCCTCCCGCTCTTTGCCGCCCCGCCCTGCTCTCTGCCGGCCGCGCCGCCTCGAGATCCTCTGCTTGCGAGCGATGGCCAGGGGACCCAGTTCCCTTCGCTCTTGTTGCTTCTGACGGCGAACGAAGCAAGGCAGGGCCCTGGGCCCACGTGGGCCCAGCCCGGGTGAATGGCGCACCCGAGGCACTCCACGCGCGAGAGTCTCCCCCCACCCCACCCAGCCGCCCCTGCCCGCGCCCGCCAGTCGGGCTCCAGCGAGCAAGACGCTCACCGCGCCTCCGCACGACGGCATGTGCGGCGCTGCCTCCTCCGTGCCATCACCTACCCCCTCGGTTGATCCCGGACAGCATTAGGGTAAAGGGTCAAGGGCCCACGTGAGCCTAGCCGATGCGAATGGTGCCGCCGAGGCGCACCGCACGTGCGAGGCCCTCTCGGCGACCTTTTCCGCGCGCGCCAGCCAGGTGCCAGCGAGCAGACGCTTGCCGTACCTCCTCCCGCGGGTTGTTTGCAGCACCGTGTATCCTTTTCTGTCATTTCGGCCACGAGGCAGAAAGAGAAAGTTTGATGTATACCTCCTTCTTCCCGCTGTGTTAGCGCCATGCTGGGGACCGAAGGTAATTCTGCCCCATCCAGTACTTTGTCACACGAGCGCGGTTCCCACCTTCTGTTTTGGTCAGTGATACCTCGCCAGCGTCACACCACGACCACCCTTGTTGCTGTCGTGTGGTCTTGTTGTGCATACTTTCCCTGGGCCGTACTGTTCACTGTACTTGCTTTCGTGGCGCCCGTGCCGAATTGTTGAGCTGTTTTATAATATTATGGTAGCTGCAGCGCCGCGTTCGGCTGACAGGCCATCGGCCTCAACAGCTCTGCAAACCCAGAATCCTGATCCTCCTGCCCCTCTCCTCCCGTTGATCGGACCTGAAGAGCACGCTTGCAGTGTCAGCTGCGGAAGGAATTGCGGCAGGCTTGCGCCCTGCAGCAATGCGGAGTAAAGGAAGGCGCCTCGCGGCTGTAGAACATAGACGAGTGTAGAACCCAGTGTATGTTGCAGGCACAGATGAAGCAAGGAACTTTCTCCTCCTCCTCATCATCATCATCAGCAGCATCAGCATCATCTCATCATCATCATCATCTCATCATCAGGCCCCTCCCACCATGTTTAGTCAAGGTTGGCACTACAGAGCAACAACGTGTGCATTCAGCCTCGGTTCGTCTCAGGCGCTGGTGCGCTCAAGCATGCACCCCGACATCAAGGTGATGATCAAGATACTGCCCAGAAACTCAGTGAAGCATAGCTTTGGCGGTCAGCACGCACCCAGCGGTCGACTCGCACGTCCTCCTTCCACCATCTGCCCTCCCCACAAATCACCTCCGCCTCCAGCCGTAGGCCCTCACCGAGGGACATCGCGAAAGGGCCCATGCTACGATGCCCTGCCCTCACCGAGAGCTTTCTTATGCAACTGGTCCCTCACCGAGGGTAGAGTTGAACACAGAAAACGCACAACAACAAAAAACGCAAGACGCCCCTACGGAACCGCTGCCTGTCGGCGACTTCCCACCGACTATGATCCTCAGCAGCCTCCACCACCAACATCCCGAACTAAAGACAACCAGCACTACCGAAGAGTGTGTAGTCGATGTACGCACGAGGATAAAGCTTCTCATGGCATCTGAATCCAAACGCTGCCTGCCAAAGAGATTACTTCCCCCCATAAACCCATCCTCGCACTTCCCCCTCCGCTGGCACAGCAGGCGAAAACTCGGAAGTGGCAGACTGCCCTCACGAAGATTGGTGGCAGAAAGAACGGCCTCCCATACGCGCAAATCAACTAAGGGATGTCAGCTCCATGATTTGCTCTGATGGCCACGTGCCTCCAGAGCCCACCGCCGCGGCCAACAATGTGGAGGCGGAGCGGACCGACAAGCGCGGCGACTCAGCCAGTGTTCATCTTGGACGCCGCAGCATACGAGCGTATACCGCAACAGCAAGGCGGTCGGTCCACAACAAGTTGCAGAGGAAACAACCAAGATTTGGCAATGAATTCCGTCAACCACTCCATCACCCCCTCTTCCTCATCCTCACCTCCTCCATACACCTCCTCCTTACTACGACTCGGACATCCAGAATGATGGCAGAAAGAAACGGCCTATCACACACGCGAAACAACTGAGGTCTCTCAAAACCTATGGTCTGCCCCGGTGGCTGAGCTGTCCTCCGGATCCCCACCACTAACCCATCCTCCATATCCATCCCTACGACTCGGGAACACACATTGATGGCAGAAGGAAACTGGTTCCCAGACGCGCATTGCAACTGAGAGATGTCGACTCCATGGCCCATGGAGGTGGAGCGGACCGAGAAGCGGGGCGAATTCAGCCGCAGATCGTCTCGGAAAGCCGCTGCGCTGGAACATGCACACAACTTCAACGCGTTCGGTCCAAAACAAGTTGCAAAGGAAGCAACCGGGTGCCCACAGTGAATGCCTTTCCGCCTCCATCATTGTTTCCACCCTCATCATCCAAACCGCCCCCTCTACGCCTCTGGCACCGACTAGTGGCAGAGAGAAGCGGCCTCCCAGAAGCACAATCAAGCGAGAGCTGTCGACTCCATGGTCTGGCCTGGTAGCCACGTGCCCCAGGGGCCCACCACGGTCAGGAAATGTGGGCGGAGCGGACCGAAGAGCGGGGCTAAACTCGGTCGCAGTTCGTCTCGGGCGCCGCTGCGCTCGAACGCACACACACACACACACACACACACACAACACACACACAACACACACACACACACACTGCAACACTAGTTGATGGGTCCCTCGGTCCCTCCTCCATCCCCACATTTCCCCTCCTACTCCATACCTCCCCCGCTAAGCCTAGGGTACACGAGTGGTGGCAGAAAGAAACGGCATCCCATGCATACAAATCAGCTGAGAGATACCGAGTCCACAGTCTGTCTTGGTGGCCACGTGCTTCCCGTGCCAGAGCAATGGAGGCGGAACAGACCGTGGAGCGGGACTGCATTCAGCCTTTGAGTGTCTCGGGCGCCGCTGCGCTCGAGCGTGCACCGCGACTTTAGGGTGAACGGTCCACCTTCGACTTCCCCTCCCGTGCTTCCTCTGATTCCTCCTCCTCGGAGGAGCAGCGGCGTTACCTCACACGACACGGGGTACCGCGGCAGCGCGCGAGGGGCCTCTCCGCCCCGCGGGCCTCGGCCCGCAGAGGCCAGCGGGCTCGGCCTCGCGCCAGAGACCCCGGGGCCCTGGGACCCCGGGTGCCTCGGCCGCGAAGCGGGGATCTGTTCACAACCACCGTTTGGGGGGCCGCGGAGGGCCCACTGGATCTGCTGCGCGGGAGTGGTGAGCGACCGAGCCAGAAGGCCCGCTTTCACTCAGCGGTTCTGTGGACTCGGCGACGGCAAGCTCCAGAAAACATGAGCCAGGACGGCTTGAACCAAATGGCTACGGGCTCTCTCCTTCCACGATTCCCTCCCCTCGTTTCCCTAGCGTCCTCTTTCCCCTCACCCTCCTCGTTTCTCCTCGTATCTTCCAACTTTTCCCTCGCTCGCCATCCCTCGTCGCTCCTATTCTCCCCCGCTTCAGCCCTTCCAGGAGAACTTGCAAGGCTGGGACCCGGAGCCAGACCCCACAGGGGACGTCAGGAGACGCGCCAGGGGGGGGGGGGGGGCGGGGGCGGAAGTGAGGATGGGGGGGAGGGGGAGAGAACACGAGGACGAAAAGGAGGAGGATCAGGAGGAAGGAGAGTGAGAGAAAGGCGGGAGGGGGAGGAGGAGAGGGTGAGGAAGGAGCTGAGGATGGGAGAGGGGGAGGAAGGAGCTGAGGATGGGAGAGGGGGAGGGGGAGGGGGAGGAAGAGAGAACACGAGGACGAAAAGGAGGAGGGTCAGGAGAGGGGGGAGCGAGAGAAAGGAGGGCCTTCCTGCGCGGCTGCGGCGGCCTGCGCGCTTCTCCATGGCAGCGCGATTCTCTGGCGCGCTTCCAGGCCAGCGGCGGCGACGGCGGCGGCGTCGACGACGACGGCGACGGCGGCGGCGGCGGCGACGACGACGACTACGACGGCGGCGGCGGCGGCGACGACGACAATGGCGACGGCGACGGCGACGGCGGCTGCTGCGGCGGCGGCGGCGGCGACCGCGACCGCGACGGCGACGGCGACGGCGACGGCGACGGCGACGGCGACGGCGACGGCGACGACGACGACGACGACGCGCACACGGAGGGGGGGAGGCGGGCCCGGTTCGACCCCCCCCTTTCCTGCAATTCATGAGAGGCCCTTTTCCCCTGGTTCGAACCCCCCCTTTGCAACTCAGGCGAGGGAGAGCCCCCCCCTGGTTTGACCCGGAAATGGGACAAGTTACAACCAAGCATTTTGCTATCAATCCCAACCAGTTTGGTATTAACTCTAACCCTTTTGAATATGAACTTCAACCGAACTTCATGAGAAACCCAGTCGTACACCAGGTTGCGCTTGGCGTTGGCCAGGCGCCATCTGGTTCGCGTTTTTTTTTTACCCATGGCTTCTCGTGGGGTGCGAGGGAGCGGGCTTCATTTTCTGATTCACTTGGTTCAGCTCCTCCTCCTCGTCCTCCTCCCCCTCCTCACCCTCCTCCCCGATCTCCTCCCCCTCCTCCTCCTCCTCCTCCTCCTCCTCCTCCTCCTCCTCCTCCTCCTCTCTTTCCCCCGACCCACTCGCTCGGCAGTTCTTCCCCTCGGGCCCCCAAGCCCTTGAACCCCTAAACCTTCAAACCCTTGAGCCCTTAAACCCTCGAGGCCCTTTAAGCCCCTTTAGCTCTGGAGCCGCGAACCCCTTACATCCTTCAGCCCTTAAAATCATTAAATCCTCAAGCACTTTAACACCTGGCCTCTTTAAGCCATTAAACCCTTCAGCCCTTGAACACATAGCCCCTAAACACTTAAACCGTTTCACTTGTAAGCCCTCAGCCTTTTCAACCTTGAAACCCTTGAGCCCTTTGAGCCCTACATCCCGGAAGCCCTTCAACGCGCGATCCTTCTAAGCCTGCAAACCCTCGAGCATTAAAACCATTTAAGCCCTTAAGTCATTGAGCCTTCAAACACTTGAACCTTTTTAAAATTGACCCGCAAACCCTTGAGCCGTTAAAGTCTTTCAGCGCGCAAGCTCTCTGCACATTTTAACCCATGGCCCCCCGAACCCTCAAAACCCTTTCAGCCCTTGAGCCCCAAAGCCGAGAAGCCCTTAAACGCGCGATCCTTCTAAACACCTTAGCCCTTAGACACATCAGCCCTTCCAGTAACACTCCTGGGCAAAACTGGCACGCATTTCAACCCGAGCAATCATGTGATTAGTTTATGGAGTGAATGTACACACAAGCAGATTATTTGGTTTGGGGGGCATAGTCACATCGCCGCACGATAGAACCATACAGTGATGTTTCTTCGCTGGGTGGAATTCGTACCAGCTGCTTGGCATGAGTCCCAGTCGGTTGGATTTAGTCCCGGATGCAGTGCGACTCCCTCCCATTGGACACGGGGGGGGGGGCCTCCTAATTTAACCCCCCCGTTAACAATTCAGGGAAAGGGGCCCCGGTTCGACACCCCCCTGGACATGGGGGGGGTCGTTGGGGGGAGAGAAGGTGGTTGTGTGGTCCGTTAGATGTTTGTATAGCCCTGTGGGCGTTGGTATGGCTAGGGGTGGTCTGCACCTTGCAAATCCTCGAGCACGGCAGAAGGAGGGGGTTAGCCTCTAGGAACCGGCCCAGACCCCTCCTGCTCATATCTTGTAGAAAAGCTCACGACGAGCCTTTTAGCGTATCTGAAGATTGTCCTTGGGGGGCTGACCTGCAGGACGAGACGCAGAATCCCCCTCGTAGATGATAGACGTATGACGGGCTTCTTCGGATATATGAAGATCTTTTTCGGTGGGGGGCTGGAGATTTTCCCGTGTGGTTGAAGAGCTTCTTGAACGGGGCTGAAGAACTTCTTGGGACCTCTTGAGGATTTTCTTGCGGCCTCTATAGCTCATGGGGGCTCTCGAAAAGTTTATCGGGGCCTCTGGGGGGGTTCTTGCGGCCTTTCTCAGTGTTATCCGGATTTATTTTGGCTGTCCTGGGGCTGTTCTGGGCTCCTGTGGGAAGGTCTTGGCGTTCGCTTGGGGCCCTCTCCTTTTCGGGGCCGTCTTGAGGCCATCGCGGCCGTCTGGGGTGTGTCTTTTGGCCGTCGTGAGATCGGATTGCGTCGTCCATGGTTCATCTGAGGCCGTTTCGGGTGCCTTCCGGAGGCCCGCTTGGGCCAGTTTCAGGTCCAAATTGGTCCCTCCAGCGCCGTGCTGCGGCCGTCGTGGAGGCCTCTAGGGGCATTTCGAAGCTCTCTTGGGGCCATCTTGGAGGCCTGTTGGGCCATCTTGAGCCGACGGGAGCCCGAACAGGAGAGAACGCCAGAAACCTTCGAACTGAAGGCTGTCAGATCAAATCTACCATTGCCAGTGCCACTGGTATATTGTTCTGCTATTGCGACCAATACTAATCCTGGTATGACCACGACGACGACTACTACTACTACTACTGCTACTACCATTACCACTACCACTCTTACTATTGATATTACTACAACTACTACAACTACTAGTGCTACTACTACTACTACTACTACGACTATTACTACTACTACTACTACTACTACTACTACTACTACTACGACTACTACGACTACTGCTGCTACGACTACTACCACTACTACTATTACTACTAGTATTTCCACTCGCATTGCCACTACAATTACTACTACTACTACTACTACTACCACTACTACGACTACTACTACTACTACTACTACGACTACTACCAACAGCCGACCATTATTACCACCATTACAACTTCGACTTTTACTACTACTACTACTACTACTACTACTACTACTACTACTATTACTGCTGACCACTACTACTACTACTACTACTACCACTACTACTACTTCTACTACTACTACTAATTTTACTACTACTACTACTATTACTACAACTACTACTACTACTACTACTACTACTACGACTACTACGACTACTTTTACGACTACTACGACTACTGTTGCTACGGACTACGACCACCTACTACTATTACTACTACTAGTATTTCCACTCGCACTCGCACTACCACTACCATTACTACTACTACTACTACTACTACTTTACGACTATTTCTACTACTATTACTACGACTACTACTGTTACTACTACTACTACTACTACTAGTACTACTACTACTACTACTACCACTACTACTACTACTACTACTACTACTACTACTACTACTACTACTTGTATTACTACTACTACTACTACTACGACGACGACCTACTACCAACAGCCGACCATTATTACCACCATTACAACTTCGAATTTTACTACTACTACTACTACTGCTGACCACTACTACTACTTTTACTTCTACTACTACTACTAATAATAATTTTACTACTACTACTACTACTATTGATACTACAACAACTACTACTACTACCACTACTATTACTACTACTACTACTACTACTACTACTACGACTACTACGACTACTTCTACGATTACTGTACTACTACTACTACTACTAGTACTACAACTACCTACATTGTTATTATGCTTGTTTCTACTTGTATTATTACTATTGCTACCAATATTACTACGACATACTATTACGTTTTATTTGTATTTCTACAAGTATTGCTACTTTCTACTACTACTACTACGACAACGACTACGACGACTACTACTGCTATTATTACTACCAGTACTACGACGACGACGACGACGACGACGACGACGACGACGACTACTACTACTACTACTACGCCCACTATTACTACCACTGCGATCACAACTACTACGTACAACTACGTCGACTGCGACTGCAAGTACTACTATTATGTTGTTTACTACCAGTGTCATTTCTGTTACTAGTACTACTGCTACTACTACTACTGCTACTACTACTACTACCTTCCAGTCGATCTACTACTACGATGTTTTAATTATTACTACTACTTCTACTACTACTACAACTGCGACTACTGCTACTACATTATGATTATCACTACGGCTATGACTGCTAGAACTACTACTACTACTACTACTATTACTACTACTACTACTACTACTACTACTACTATTACGACTACTACTACTACTACGTTTGCTACTACGACTACTACTACTACTACTACTACTACTACTACTACGACTACTACTACTACTTCGACTACCACTGCTACTATCACAGCTACTATTACTCCCAATCTTACTATTACTGCTAAATCCTACTACGACGGATACTACGACTACTACTACTACTACTACTACTACTACTACTTCTCTTACTACTACTACTCTTACCACGACCACTACTACTACTAACAACAAAAACAACACTCCTACAAAGACGACTCCTGCTAGTACTACCACTACTACCAGTACTATTTGTACGATTACTTTTACCACTAGTCGTACTCGTACTACTACTAGCACTACCACTTATATAATCGCGACTGTCACCTCTACTATTCTTTGCTACTGCGGCCGCTACTACTACGATTCTTGCCACTGCTACGGATACTATTACTGTTACTACCACTACTACTAGTATTATTACTACTACTACGACTAGTGTGACTACTG